CGTTTTCTGCTCATAAACCAGACAAGATGCTCCCCATCATGAGGTTTTCCTTTAAATTGGCTTACAAAGTGAACATTATATATCTTATTTGTAAACCGCACGATCACAAAGTCTTCATCACCAATATTTTAGGCAAAAAAAAGTATCTGCTTTCTCCATTGATTCTTCTGCACCTAGGAAGACAGATCCAAATTCACCGTCATTCACCTGTTCTAGGGATATTTCAGATTTCTATGATTAATAGAATTCTTATTCCTTCTTCTTCTTCCTCTGTATCATCAAAGATTTAGTGTCTTCTATTCCCAGGAACATTTTTGCGTTTTCAGTTCTTTATCTGTATTCCTTTGCTGTGCTGCAGATTTTTCCTCTTCTTCAAGTTTCCTCATTTCCAAAATACGTATTATTTATTTTTATAAAAACTAATATTGGAAATTATTAGCGGGAAATGGTTGGATTAAGGAGTGTAGGGTAAAAATAATAATAATAAAAGTAAATGAAAAAATGAACTTAAAAGAATATAGTAGGTTGTTTGCAGCTATCATGGAGCACATTGATACACTTCAATGTGCCTCAGGCAGCAATTTAGATTAATATAAATTTCTCATCCAACACTTCATAATTTACCTAACAAAAGATAATGAGTAACTGATAAAAAGTGGTTTTATTTCCCAGGAAGGGTGTTCTGTTCTCTTGAAAAGACCGGAAAAGCTGCACAATACCGCTTAATTCTACAACTAAAATTTACTTTTGATCAACAAAACATTAAATGACCCATCTAATTTTATCAAATTACTGAACCATAAGAAGACTTTCTGTAGGTAGCTGTGTACACTAAAGCCAACTTTTGGAGCTGTCGTGAATATCCTGTAATAACCTTGTGAGTAGTGGAGAGGGTGTATCAAAGTGCCCCATGAATCAATGTGCCCCAGTTTCCCCTACATCGATTATTCAAATTCTCATACTTTTTCACTTAGTTTTTACTTATCATGTAATAAGTTAGATACTGCGGCGTTCGCGCAGTCTAAGAATTTTTTAGGCGTATTAATATAACGATCACTCACGAATAATAGCAGAATGTAATACTTACAAGAGAGAATTTCTTCTGGCACAGTATTGCTTCATGTTACTGCCACCAAGACGAGACCAAGGCCTCCTGATTTTGTTTTGAACAAACAAATATTACGTTTTGGGATGATGCTTAACAGTTGTGCTCAAGATAAAACGACGAAGAATGGAGATGAAACAAATTATAATTTGCTATAGAAACATTTTTATTCGATGGGCGAAAAAATTTTGTGAGTGACATTATTGTTATTTGCTCGATCTCGATTGAGGTAAAACCCTTAAGTCTCCCTCGTGCAAAAATAAAAAAAAAACTTCATACACTAAATACACTGGTAAAATAACTGCTTCAGGAATCAATTTTTTTCCGTATTAGGCACTCTGAAATGTGTTTTCTTTTGAAAAATAAACACTTTAACTGCAGCATTGTATAACGTTCTCTTCCGACGCAATAACTACGTGGAAGGAGAAGGGATAGCCTCCTTGTTTTCAGCAAGGGCACGTGCCCGGATCGACACGGCCGTGAATGCGTCAACGGCGCACGGGGCATCCGTCTCCTTCGCCGGGGCGCCAATCGGCTATATTTCGCGCGCTGGCCCACGCGGCAGGCGGGATTGGACGGACCACGAGGGACCACGAGGGACCACGAGGGACCACGAGGGACCACGAGGGACCACGAGGACCCACGAGAGACCACGAGAGGACACGAGGGACCACGAGGGACACAGGCACGAGGGACCACGAGAGAGGACACGAGGACGAGACGACCGCACGAGGGACTACGAGGGCACAGCACGAGACCACGAGGACCATCGAGGGGACCACGAGGGACGAGGCACGAGGGACACTGAGGATGACCACGAGAGACAACAAACGAGGACCACGAGGACCACGAGGGACCACGGAGGGCCCGAGAGGGACCACGAGGACCACGAGGGAACGAGGGACACGAGGACCACGAGGTGACCTACGAGGGACCACAGGACCACGAGGCCCAGAGAGACCACGAGGACACGAGGACCACGAGGGAACCACGAGGGACACGAGGGACACGAGGGACCACGAGGACACGAGGGACCACGAGCGCCGAAGGGGCAGGGGACCACGAGGGACGACGAGGGACCACGAGGGACCACGAGTGGAAGACGAGGCACGAGGAACGAGGGACACGAGGGACCACGAGGACCACGAGGACCACGACTGGCAGGACGGGTGGATGGGCGGGGCGGGCGGTGCCAGACTAGGCGGGACGAGGAGGGACGGGAAGGGACGTGATTGGCTGACAGGGCTGGTGGTGGCAGAGGGATGTCGCGGACGGGCAGGAAGGGCGAAATGGCGGGACGGGTCTGGCGGGTAAAGCAGGAAGTGTGGGGGCAGGCGTTGTGAGCAGGGTGGACGGTGTGGGCAGGGCGTGACGGGGCGAGGGCGGTGCGAGCAGGGTGGCGGGGCGGGCAGGCCGGTTGGGGGTGGGGCCTTCGAATCGAGGCAACGCGCAGCGGTACTAAGTGCGATTACGGCGCTCACAATGCGGGGGATTTGCGCGACGATATTGATGGCAGTTTTGTGTTGACACGGGGTTGTCGGCGCGCCCCGCATTATCGGCGCGAGCGGCAACCGCGCCGCCCGCGCCGCCTCCCGCCCCCGAGACACCTGCATTGGGCTTGGAATGCGCTCTCGCGGCCGGGGGCGGTTGGCAGCAGCGGTCAGCGAGACCTGCCTGCTCCAGGCGAATCACAAAATTGACTGATGATGTGGATTATGAAATGTAGAAGAATGATTGAAGAGATTTTATTTAAATTCGCATGTATTTAAATGCTGCTGTCGTTAATTATTTGAATATTTAGTACCAACGATAAAGTATGACTCTCTGGAAATTGATATATGGTGTACTTAAGCGTGTTTGTGGAATCTAAGTGGCGAATTAAAATTGCTCCAAAAATCATTTTCGTATTTACACATCCTTCGAAATGTAAATAATTGAAGTACAAAAATAAAACTTTATTTTCTCTTAATTTTTAACACTATTCCCTTCGTAGAAGTCAAACATGATTGACATAATGACAATTAGCGGTGCTAGAGAATGACGCACACTTTCTCATACTAGTTAGTTCCCTATTGTCTTGACACGGGATTAGGTATTTGAAGTTGCCCCCAACCTTTTTTTGCAGCAGATATCTATTAGTGCCTGGAAGACCTGCCAGGGCCTCTCAAAGTATCGTCGTTCTTCCGTGAGTGTTGTGAATGAAGAACATTACGAGCTCCCCGAACATTGCATAGGCCTATCTCAATCCTGTACCTTTACATATTAGCCCAAGTAGCCCCGTCTCGGTGTTTCTAGAATTGTTCCGGGCGTAAGTATCCAGTTTCCCCTACATACATAAATGTACTGTTTGTTCCCCCTCTCAGTCTCTCCTTCTTCGTTCTCTCTCGGATGTTCTTCTTCATTTAAATTTGTTTCCATTCTCTCATTTTTCCTTCTCTTCCTCTTGTCTCCGTGAATTGATAATGGTCGGAGTCCTAAATCGTCTGGCCTAAACCATCATCCTAAGACTTTCTGAGATTTTACTCAATCGCCTAAGGCTCATGCCAGGATGGTGCCTTGTTTTGTACTCCCTGACGTAAATGTACAGCTTGTCCTCCCTCTCTTAAAATGTTACTACTATATATGTATTCAGTGGTTAGTCGAAAGACCGGGCCTTATGGCCTGAGCTTCGCCATTAGTGAAGACATTATTATTATTATTATTATTATTATTATTATTATTATTATTATTATTATTATTATTATTACTATTACAAAGATTGTATTGTATTACACATATTGAACACACTGTTGCTCGTGACTCCAGGACGCTAAGAAAAATTGTCGTGTACATATAATATAAAAGTGACTCCGAAGGCACGCCACGAACCAAACTAAAATACTCGCTCATCACGCGCTACACCCGGGACTGCTTGGCCCCGCACCACGTCACACGGCAATAATGAAACCCTGATGGACTGCATTTAACTGAATGTTTAGAACAATATTTAGGGATAACAGTTTTGAATCGCCACCAAGCTAATTTCTATTTTTGGCCCCTCAAAAGACTTGGTTCCAAATTTGGAAGCAATCACTCCAGAAGTTTTCAAAGTGTTTTTGGCACATACAAACACATACACTCTTATGTAGAATGCGCGCGAAGTTGGGCAGCTGCTGGTTGAAATCTACAATCATATCTTCGGAACCCATACTAAAAACTAAGTTGGTGCCATTGGTAGTGTCTATAATGAGATTTAATTAAATGTTGTTAATTCGGTAGTTTTTTAGTTAAATTGGTTGGTGAAGTCGGACAACAGACAACAATTCATCTGACGTCATGTTTCTGTTAAAGGGACTCTTTTTTTGAGGGTTCGATTCCCGCTCGGCGTAGAAATGAAGCTGTAGTTTTGTAATACAAATCGTCTCAGTTTCTATAGTTGTGAAACACAATAGAAAGCCCAGGCAGGCCAACTACGGTGACAAGAAGTATGTCATGCTGGGCACATGTCTCCCTTACCCTTACACTTACCCTTATCCTCACCAAGGGATGAAAAATAAATGTAAACAGAGGCCAGGCCTGGGAAGAATGCTAGCTGGGAAACGTCCGAATACACTTGGAATATGTTATTCGAATAATGCAATGAACGCTGGAATTAGTATAATTGAGAAAAAAGTGCTTGTAATAGCAAGGTAAAAAAAAATCAAACTTCTCTTCATCTGAAGAAATTTAATGTGTTACTTTGCTGAGCACAGGACTTTCCTTTTCCATCTTATTTTCCTCGAAATGAGAAAAATTTCATTGGATTTCTGAGAAGAGTTTCTCTGAGGGGTATCTGCTGACATCACGGTGACGTGGACGTCTGCAAAGCTTGAGACAGGGGCCTGGAAAAACTTCTTACTTCGGTCATCGCTAACAGATGTGGCGCGTCGAGACATCTCTTAAAAGATTAGCACGAGCGTCGTGGCAAAGTCTGTCCCGGCTGACCGGCGCGGAGGCCCGGCCCGGCGCTGAGGACGTAAGACGCCTGGCGCAGACGTAAGTAACAACCCCACAGGGTACGGCGGCTCCAAAGACTGGAGAGGGAAGGGAAGAGATGAAGAAGGATAGTCTGTGGAAAGAACGATGCGGTGAGTTGGGCAAAGACATGAAGTAAGGAAGAAAAAGACCTAAAGAAACGAAGGAAGGCAGGGAGGGAGGAAGGAAGGAAGAGAAAAAGGAAGAAAGAAAGGAAATGGCAAAAAAAGGAAATGTGGAATAGGGTTTGTTAAAAAACTCAATAGTTTCGTATACTTACCAAAACACAAGAAATATCAAATTACATAAAAGCGTCAATTAATATTGTAATGTAATTAACACTGATGGATGATAAACTATCATCATTAAACAAGAACAGGCAATCCAGAATGGATATTTTAAATAGTTTTAACATTTGTTGAAATACACACTTTTTTAAATATTGTACTAAAACATTAAAATATCTCATTAATTTGTTTCAAAATAAAATTATTTAAAGTTATTAGAAGTTGTTACAATAAATGGAAATATTTTTTCATTCATTTTTTGTTTTGAATCTGTAAGATTTCGAAGAAAATATTGTAAACTAATCTGTTGTACGTATTTCGTAGAGTACAATTAAATTGGCGCAGTAGACTCTCGCCCATGCGCCATCCAAAACGGCGGTGCGGCGAGTGCACAGCTTGTGATGAGGCATTCCTTCGTCTGTGCATCTTTCCTTCACTCCAAATTTACCACCAATCCGATTATTAAGTGCAGTCAGCTTCGACAACTAAACCCGATTATTATAAATGTCAATATAAACTGATAAAATGAATACACTTTTTTAACTGAGCTATAATTTATTTTCATTTTACAAAGAGGGGGGCGTTGTCTAAAGCGATACGTGACTATTTAGGGGGAAGTCCAATCGCTCGTTATGTGTGCATTACAGGGGGGAGAGGGGGGTATTCAAAATACTCCAAATTTGCGTTACGTAATTTACGGACGCCTCCGATTGTGTAGGGATTGAATGATGAAATGACACAATAATAAATAAATACGTAACACGCAAGGGTGAGTCAGAATGTTAGCAGAGATATTAGAAAAGTGCAAGTTTCCCAGCAAAGGCGTGGCGCGCTTGTGTTGGCGTTGAAGAAGCAGGGGAGAGCGAGGGAGGCGAGAGCAACGAAGGGGGCTCCGCGTGAGGAAACGAACGGAGTGGGCGCAGGGCGAAGAGAAAGGTGCGGTCCAGCGGAGATAAAAAAGGCCGTTTGAACTAAATGGAGTTGCCTTCAAAGTTTCTCTGCGCCTGACAGCTGGCGCTATTGTACATTGTGTGCAAACCCTCAACCTATCTCTCGTTCCCCCAGCTTCCCCCCGGAGTCTGCAACTAAGCCCAACCTATCAACGGACGCACCACCTTGCATTAACTAAAACTTTTAACTCGGTTTGCCTCGCTCCGCACTCCTTGTTAAAGCCTTTGCTAGATACACTGAACGTATATGAACAAAGCGGCAGATCTTCAACACATCTGGAGAAGTGTTACGCAATGAAACACGAGATGCAGAACTTGTACGAGTAAAACTTTTAACCATTCTGAGAAAGAAAAAAAAACTCCCAGGAGCTGCCTTACAGTGGATGGAAATGTTGCAGAAAGATCACTGGATCGCATAATTTTTGCCTCGCAGCTTCCCTAAAGCAAGGTGACCTCCTCCAAACTTTTTGTTCGTTCCGTTTCCAGCTTTCGCTCTCTGATGTTAAGTTAATGGGGCAAAAGACATATTTTTATCCGCTCGACAAGAAGGTAACAGGACGTAAAGAAAATTCTTGATGACGACAACTCTTATATTAGTTAGTATATGAAAACTGAAAATTAAGTAGGAACATACTTCATCTTACAGGGCCGCTGCGTTTAACCCACGCGCCATAAATTCATCCAGGGAGGCAGAATGAAAATAGGGGGCGCGGAGGAGACCGAAGCAGTTTAAAACTTCGCGAATTCGTCGCGGCCAGCGGCCTCCATCGCCGCGGGAATCTGCTCTTAAGCGGCAGCGGGAGGAAGAGGGCGTGACATTTGGGGCGACCAAAAAATGAGAGATAGAGGGGAGCCCCGGCTGCGTTGGCTCAGAGTAACAAAAGGGTTTCTGCTTGGAAAGTTTGAGGGTTCGTACGCTGATGTAGAGGATTTTCGACATTACCTATGTTGCTCAGTCTCATTGAACCAAATTTGATAAAAAACTAAGTTTTGCTAAACAGCATGTACTTTCTAGCCTTTAGTGATAGTTAAGTTACACTTTTTATATTATTATATTTATGTAATTTTTAGCATTTAAAGTTTTTGTAGTAAATTATATAAATGAATTTTGATTACATTTTATTGTTCGATATTATGAATGAGATTTATGCGAATGGTGCAGGTTTCATTTTCAAAGTTGCAAACATTCCCTGATTTTTCGAAAGTTGCAAAAATTCAAAACTTTTTCTACATTCGTATTTCTATCCAACGAAATTTATGTTATCCATAAAATTTCAGCTAATATCAAAGGTAGATTTTCTAGGAGTGAGGATTTTTTCATTCTCCCAGTACACCGAGGGAAGTGTAATAACTCTTGTTAAGAAACTTGTCGCGCGCTACGTGCACTGTCTTGCCCACTTGCATGCTTCCGTCCCGATTCTCTAAGAAAGCGCGCGAACGTCTGCTTTCGGACTAACTATGGCTTGATAAAATGATATCAAAAATATGACTGACGTAAAGAAGTTGAATTTCCTTTTAAAAGGACTGATTATTCAAACAATTCATCAGGCAATATACTCCTATTTGGAGAATATATAAAACCTTCAAAGAGAAACAGTCAGAGAAACAGTCTGGCGTGGATCAACATGTCTATGTATTTCATATACCTATTTCAAATACAAATATTTAAATACTGCCCAATAATATTCATTACCAATCGTACAACGTTTGGCAAAAACTATTTTTTTCAAACAAATATCAAGACAAATTTGACGATTATAACTACTATTTACACAGTTAAGTCATGTCCCAACAATAAGACGTAATAGACAAACGAGTCATTGTCGTCGAGTCATTCTAGCTCGAGTCATTCTAAAGTATTTCAAAAGGGTTTTAAATATTTTCTAAACTATTAATGCGTAAACGCTTAACAAAGAGTCAAATGTTAAGAAACGAACAAAGCAATATATAATAGTATACAAATTCTGACTTTCAAAGCATCCAACTGTGTGGAATTGTGTCGCCAATTTGCACAAAAATGCTGATATTTAAAAAAAAAATTGATCACGACATTATATAAAGTTATATTTCTGACAAACACATACAAACACAAACTATATTTTCACAATTGTAGTTTTAGCAAGACGATAATTTTTTTTTTAGATTTTTCAAAATCACGCATTTCAATGAATAAGAGACGTGCATCATTATCTTAAGCGTCTTTTACGATAAGTTCCCACTTTTGTGCAGTTTTTAAGAACAGGGTGCTTAAGAAAAATAAACATAAAAAGGCTCATGTTTTTCAAGAATTGAAATTTGGATTTTTTCATTTATCGAAAAATTCTCTTAAGTTTCCTTCAGACTATCCAGGTACAAGAGTCTTTTTTTAAAAAAAACGTATTGATTGAGAATTAATTATTTAAGGAAATAAGTACTAAACAACAATACACGCATAGAGTGTGTCAAATGTTACTCCAATTTTTATTTTCGAATTTAATATATTTTCAGAAAGTTTATTAAACTTTATGGAAAACTACTTAGCCTTTGGAGGCTTTTATTAAAAATATGAGACAGATTTTGTGTTACATAAGTCGTCGGAGGAAACGTAATCCATTAACTTAGTAATAAACGCGACTTAGTATGTGTGATTAACATTAACAGCAAAACTAGATTGCAAGGTGGAAGGTGGACCATTTATGTACCTGCTCTCACATAAAACTCTGGCTTCTCGGAAAACAAAGAATCTCTTGGAGGAACACTGACGGCGAGGTAGTCTCCCTTGAAGAAATGAATCTAACTTGTAGGTGACGCCAGGTTAAATTAGAAAATTTTTGACCAAATGTCTAAAAACATCTAACTAAATGTCTAAAAAAAGTAGTAATAAGTCACAGAAAACTGTAAATTTGAACAAGTTGGATATTATCTACGGCAATTCAAGTGAAATTAAAATAAATAAGTTTGACAGTTATAAGCTGCTTCTCAAACAATACCTAATGATTACGCTACGCACCTTTTGGAATCAGAGTTTTAAGGATAGTTATTACCAAAGATGCACAGGTAGCTTCGATAAGCTTACGCAGGTATGGAATAGATGCGCCTATGGACAATAAATACGAGTTGCAAAAATTACAATATCCCGATTTGGAGATCACGCAACTAAATGGGTTAAGTGAAAACTGTCACGGTGGTTTGGCGGCCAGCAGAATCGCTTCACTCGTTTCATGGCAGTACTCCCGTTCGTAGGGAGTCGAGGTGGGCAGAGGGAGGAGACGTGTAAGCTCCTGGTTACTCACCAGTTGGGCCCCTATCCGCTGATTTGGAATAGGATTGGGAGCGGGATCTGTTCCCAAACCCACGCAAAGAGATCCGACGAAGAACCCAAATCTCCCGTCAGTTTGCTCACGATTCCGGCGACACGTGGATATCGTCAAGGTGCATGCAGTGAAGGGTCGGGTTGGGGGCCCCGAACTACTTGGACCTTAGTCCGAGTTATTCAGTTGCGAGTCGCCCCGGAGCACAGTGAGTGGTTCTTTATGAAACTTCGGTATTAACCGTTACAGCTAGTAGCTCTGACCGTACCGAGGACCAACTGGGGAGGCGGAGTACTGCGTTCCGACGTATCTGGATGACATCCCAAAAGTGTACCTGTACACCCGAGGGGGAGCGGGAGTAAGGATGAAGGCCAAAGAGCTTAGGTGCCCTTCCTGGCGAGAATAATCCTCCCGGAAAGACAAACTTATGTGAGACGCAGAGAACCCACTTTTCTTTATCATATCTTTGGCACGCAAAATAAAATTCGCTATCA